CTACTGTTACTGCTACTACTGCTACTATTACTGCTACTACTACTACTACGACTACTGCTACTACTACTACTACTACTACTACTAGTACTACTACTACTACTACTACTACTACTACTACGACTACTACTACTACTACTACTATTACTAGTACTGCTGCTGTTACTAGTACTAAGAGTACGTCTACTACTACTGCTACCACTGCTACTACTGATACTACTGCTACTGCTACTGCTACTGTTACTACTACTATTACTACTACTACTACTACTACTACTACTACTACTACTAGTAGTACTACTACTACTACTACTACTACCACTACTGCGACTACTGCTGCTACTGCTAGTACGGCTACTACTACGACTACTGCTGCTACTGCTACTACTGCTACTACTGCTACTACTACTACTGCTACGGCTACTACTACTACTACTACTACTACTACTACTACTATTACTACTACTACTACTATTACTACTACTACTGCTACTACGACGACGACTACTACTACTACTACTACTATTACTACTACACTATTACTACTACTGCTGCTGCTGCTGCTACTACTACTACTACTACTACGACCACTACTACTACGACTACTACTACTACTACTACTGCTACCACTGCTACTACTGCTACTACTGCTAGTAGTGCTGTGACTACTACTACTGCTACTACTGCTACTACTGCTACGTCTGCTACTACTACTACTGCTACTGCTACTACTGCTACTACTACTACTGCTGCTACTACTAGTAGTAGTAGTAGTACGAGTACTACTACTATTGCTACTACTACTCTTACTACTACGACTACGACTACTACTACTACTACTACTAAATCTGCTGCTGCTGCTACTACTACTACTATGACTACGACGACTACTACGACGACGACGACGACAACTACTACTACTACTACTACTACTACTACTACTGCTACTACTGCTACTACTGTTAGTATTGCTTCTACTACTGCTACTACTAGTATTATTGATACTCCTGCTACTACTGCTACTACCGCTACTACCGCTACTACTACTGTCACTGCTACTACTGCTACTACTGCTACTACTACTACTACTACTGCTGCTGCTGCTACTACTACTAATACTAGTACTACGACTACTGCTACTACTACTACTACTGCTACTGCTGCTGCTGCTGCTGCTGCGGCTACTACTACTACTACTACTACTACTACTACTACTACTACTACGACTACGACTACGACTACGACTACTACTACAACTACTACTACTACTACTACTACGACTACGACTACTACTACTACTACTACTACTACTACTACTACTACTGCTACTGCTACTACTGCTACTACTACTACTACTACTACTACTACTACTACTACTACTACTACTACTACTACTATACTACTACTACTACTACTACTACTACTACTACTACTACTACTACTACTACTACTACTACTACTACTGCTACTACTGCTACTACTGCTACTACTACTACTATCACTACCTCTGCTACTACTACTACTACTACTACTACTACGACTACTACTACTACTACTACTACTACTACTATACTACTACTACTACTACTACGACTACTACTACTAACTACTACTACTGCTACTGCTACTGCTACTGCTACTACTACTGCTACTACTACTGCTACTACTACTACTACTACTACTACCACTACTACTACTACTACTACTACTCCTACTACTTTTTATGTGTGAGTCGCCCCCCCCCCCCCCCCAGGGTGGCGGCGCGCGCCCTGAGAAATCCTACAGTATGAGCTCCGCGTCGAGCGCTTCCTGGCCATACCGCTGGGGAAGCGATCTACTGCAGTATCGTTGTACTGACTATGTGCTCGGGTGGGTCGGACGCGCTTCTCCATGGAGGAGACATCTTGCTAGCGTGTCATTGCGCGTCTCACCGTAGGTGGAGAAGGGACAACACCGTTCTTTCTTTCAGAGTGTTTTTTATATTTGAGGGTCCAGAAATGTTTCCAGCCCCGCCATCTGGGACATCCTCAAACAAATTTAATCGAAAAACTGTTGGTTTGTAGGTTGGTTGGCTGATTGGCTCGCCCATTGCCAGGTCAAAAAAATGTATCCGGGAGGTTGGTTTGTTGGTTGGCGGGTGGGTTGGTTGGTTGTTTGGCTGTTTGGTTATTTGATTGGCTGCTTGGCCGGGTTCCCGTTTGCCCGGGAATGGTGGGTCGATTGGTCGGTTGGTTGGCTCGGTAGGTGCCAGGTGAAATCTTTGTCCCAACGTGGTTGGGTTCTCGTTTTGCATAGAGCAGTATGGGGCAGTTTGAGCCGAGCGGCGTGGGACATCATCCTCAAAAGAATTCATCAGGGAGGGCTGGTTGGCTGGTTAGTTGGCTGGCTGGCTGGTTGGCTTTCCAGTTGCCGGGTGAGTCGGTGTCTAGGGGTTTTAATGCGGCACACCCCTCACACGGATCGCACATAGGGGGCCTGAGAGAATTATGTTTGATCGGACAAACAAAATGTTGGGCCCGTCTTATTTTGTAAAGTAATCGGAGATAAGATGTCGACCCGCGACCCTTGTAGGTCGTATCTGCGAAGATCGCGTTGGCGTCGAAATCACAAGCATGGAATGGTGCTCCCCATCCGAGGGGCCTGAAACAGCTTCCAGTCGGTGGGAAGGTACATCAAGTCTCATCCTGGATCACTCACGCGGTCGCACTCACAAAGAGACGCCTCTGATCATCACATGCACCACGAATCATGTCGATTACGGTGTTGACGCTCAGGACGAGGAGTGTGATGGATTACCGATTGTTTTCACACGGTCGCGCGCCAGACGACCATCGAGGCTCCGCCTTTGGCGCTGCGGTTGCTTGCTGTGGGTTGTTGGTCGGCATCACCACGCGCGTTGGAGGTTCGGCTCTGTTTCGCGTTGATGGATGCGGCCGTGAACCCTTGCGTGCGTCCTCTTCCTCATCCTCCTCTCAGTCGCCTTGCTCTCCTCGAACACGCTGGTCAATACCGCTCCCTCGCCATGAAGCAATGCGGCGGCGACATCCAGGCCCCACCCACGCCGATCAACGACTCGGGCACCTCGACGGACGGCGGGGGGCAGGGCTCAGAGCTCGTCGAGCACCTGGCGAGACCCGAACCCCGCCTCCGCCCCCCCCCCCGATCCACGAGCGTCCAGGCCTGGCGGGGGGAGGCCTCCTCGGAGGCCCCCGCCCGGCAGCGGGCGCGCTGCGCGCGGCGAGAGCATGTCGGACTCCGTCGCTCCTCTCGCGCCCGCCGCGCGCCGCCGAGCGACCGATGGGCCCGGCGCGGGGCCACGGGCACGCTGCAGTCGACCCGCGGAGCCGCGCGTCGCCCCCGGCTGCCGACTCGCAGAGGAGCCAGGGGGGGGGGGACAGGAGGCTCCACGCTTTCAGTCGGGCCTGTCCTTCGACAGGAGGGGTATTCCAAGACAGTCAACAAAATCCTCCTCCTCCTCCTCCTCCTCCTGCTCCTCCTCCTCCTCCTCCTCCTCCTCCTCCTCCTCCTCCTCCTCTCGGGCTGTTTAGTCCAATCCGCGCTGGCGCCGATTGTCTGTCGCAGCGAATCACGGCAGGAACCATGAGTGTCCTTGCCAGCCCACGCGTCCTTCAGGATGCATGGCCTTCTTGCTTGCTTGCTAGTCAACAAAATAGTCTGGGAGCGATTTTTTGAGCATTTCTTGGCCATTTCGGGGAACGGTTTGACTATTTCTTGTTTTTTCCACAAAAATCCCCTTGTAGGGGGACACGCCCGACGTAACCCCACCCTGACATGTCGATTGGTGGCTTGTCCGTTTTCGCTTCTCGAGAGGGCGCCGCGGCAGCCTTTTTTTCCAGGCCTGCGCCCGCCAGGCTTGGGCTGGAGGTCGTTTGTACGAAACCGCGTTTTGCGCAAGGGGGGTTGTGCCCATCCCCGAGAGAGCAAGGAGGCAGAGGGTACGAGGGGCCACGCCACGAGCAACCGAATCTGCCTCTGGTCCCCGACCCGCACCCGCGAGAGGGCCACGCTGGGTCATGGTGACGCGAGCTGCCGGCTCGACCCTTCGAAGGGGCCCACTTGGTCACAAACGCCGCATGGACCTTTACGTTGGCCTCGTTTGCCGCACCCCCGCACGACCGTTCTCGTCCCAGCAAGCGGAGCATCTCGCAGAACGCGACCGGGGGACACCTGTGGTCGCCGAGCATGTTCTTTGGGTGGAGGGCAAAGGGTGAAATCTGAAATGCCGTTTCAATGGATTTTCGAGGGAATCTGCAAACGGTGAATCACAAGACGGATTGATCTTCGAGGTGCACAAGCCCATATGGATTTCACCCTGAGTCCTCCACCTTCAGAGAATGCTCAGGGTAGGGCTGGCAACTCGGACTCAAGGGTTGCAGTGTGCCCGTGTGAGCGATTCAGAGTTGATACGGGCTGGATGGCTACACAGCCCGATAGTAGTGCACAAGGTGAGAGCCATGCATATATGGGAATGATGGCGACCATGAAGTTGGACCAGAAATAGGCATGAGTAAAATCGCACACAAATCGTATGACCATGAGTTGCGTCAAACAGTGACTGTCATTACATGCCTCCAGTGTTTGTATTGTTTGTTTCCTCCGCCTCCACGTTCGCGCCCAGGTTAGCCCGCTGACTGTCCGGCTGGAGGGCAACCGCATACACAATGGCGAGCAGTTGCTCGATCACATCAGAAACAAGGGTGGGTCGGACGGGGCAGTGATCTCGCCTCCTCACAAACATCTCTGGCTTGCGATTTGTGGATGGCCTGCTTCTGGAGGAGTCGGAGGCACTCAGCAGGATGGGCCGCAGGTACGTGTCCAGAACGGCGTGAGAGTATCAAGCATTACTCGAGGTGGTGCTACGACGCCAAGAGGCGCGGCCCAAGGGACCCAAAAGACGGCTCCAAAAAGGTTTCAAGAAACACGTCGGCATTCCCAAAACGGTGCCCAAAACGGCCATGAGATGCGCCCAAGATTCGGGAGGCTCGACGACGGGCCAACGACGGCTGAAGGTGGCCAAGGCACCTTTCAAGAATGCTGCAAACAGCGCCACGACACGCCACGACGGCGCAAGACTACCCCAGAAACCGTTGCAATAAGCCCCATGTTGTGTCGGCCCCGGCCTGGGGCCCCCGCTTGTCCGAAACTCCCCCCACCCTGCCCCCAGAAGCGAATTTAGCTCCGGGTCCGGGGGCCCGTTTTCGACCCCTGGGGGTGTTACTTCAGCTTCGAGACGGGTGAAGGTGGCCATAAACCGTCTGAACGCGACGCCAAGAAACCCCGATTACCGCCATGACCTGCCCAAGACGGCACAGTGTCGCCCCAGACACCTCCAGACAGCCTACCACGCCCCATCGGCTCCAAAAAGGCCTCGAATAGGGTCTCCATCGACACGATCTACAGCTGTTCAACCAGATTTGATTCGTTTGCTTGTTGTAACGTTAGCCCGCGTGGACTCAACGCAGAGAGGTGTTGCACTGTTGAGTTGAAATCTATGTGGTGTAAGCTATGCGGTTTGAGCTATGTGGAATGAGCTATGTTGTGCAAGCTGTGTGGTGCAAGCTATGTCGTGTGAGCTATGTGGTGTGAGCTATGCGAGGTGAGCCATGCTCTCTGAGCTATGTGATGCAAGCTGTGTGGTCTGCGCTATTGTGCGTAGGCTGTGTGGTGTGAGCTGTGCGGTCTGAGCTTAGTCGTGTAAGCTATATCGTATATGTGTGTGCGCGTGTGTGCACTATGGTGAAAGCTGTGAGGCGGACCCACCAAGCAGCAACGAGGCGGCAACGGGCGGCTTCTCGACGAAGCCTCGGTGGCCCCCCCAAGCGGGCGGCAACGAGGCGGCCAGGAGGCGACCACGCGCGGCCACGCGACGAAACCTCGGCGGACCCCTCAAGTGGACGGCCACGCGGCGGCCACGGGCGACGACGCGGCGAAACCTCAGCGCAGCGGCAGCGGTGACGCGGCGAAACTTCGGCGGACCCTCCAAGTGGGCGGCAACGAGGCGGCCACGAGGCGGCCACGTGCGTGGACGCTGCGAAACCTCGGCGAACCCCCAAGTGGGCGGCAACGCGGAGGCCATGAGGCGGCCACGTGCGACGACGCGGCGAAACTTCGGCAGATCCCGGGCGAGCCGCAACGAGGCGGCCACGAGGCGCCCCCGCGGCGAAGCCTCAGCGGACCCACCCACTATTCTGTTTTGACATAAGCAAGGCCTCCCAAAAACGCACGCACTGTTTGGGAACAAGGACTCTCGCGTTCTCGCCGGATCGAGCTCCTGAAGACTGAGACAGCCGGTGCAGCCCCCCTTGGTGGCTCGAGATTGCCCTGAGAGCCAGACTGGCTTGAGAGAGCACAGATTTTTAAGAGCACGAGTTTCACCCGGTGTGCAGGGGAGCCAGAGTTGTCAGGTGTGTGTTACCCCAGCTATAGGACAGTGGAGGACCCAGAGGGTGTTGTCGATTTGCCGCGCGAGCATACATGAAGGGGGGAGGCCGGCATTGTGGGGGTGGGCCAGGACGCGGGTGTCGGGTGTTGCTAGTAGTGCCCCTGGCCCAAGGTACCCCGAGGATTCTCGGGTTGGCCCAGGCGGCCTCAAGGGCACCCCTCACGAGGCCCAGACGATCCCAGGGGCTCTGAAATGGAGCGAAAAGCTGGAGGCACCTTGGGCTAGGGACACTCTTGGGGTATCTCTTGGGCGTCTTGGGACGTCTTGGGGGTTTCTTGGCGGTCGTGGGGGGCTCTTCGGCGTCTTGAGTGCCTCGGGGGGGCCTCTTGGGCCCGCTTGGGATCCTTTTGGGGGCCTCCTGGGGGCCTCTTGGGGGCCTCTTGGGGCCATCTTGGGGCCATCTTGGGACCTCTTGGGGGCTCCTGGGCGCTTCTTGGGGCCATCTTGGAGGAGATCGATCAAAGAAAGAGATGGTCACAATTCGCGTCCCCCCCCAAGAGACCCACAAACCCTGGTAAAACCAATGATTTGGGCTTCCTCGCCGAGGCCGTTCTGGACGTGCTGACACCTCGCGAAACCCTTTGTCCAGGTCCAGGGGAGGGGGTAGGGGGAGGGGTCAAGAGTCTCCCTCCCCGCCCGCAAGCCGTCTCGCTCACTCCCACCCGCCCTCCCAACGCATACGTAGCACCCGAGCCTGGCCCGAGCCCGCAGCATATGCAGCAGTCGTCTTTGGATGGGCAGCTACTGGGGGCCAATCCGCCGCCGCCGCCGCCGCCGCCGCCGCCGCCGCCGCCCGCGCGCCGCCGCGCCGCCGCCGCCGCCGCAGCCGCCGCCGCCGCCTCCGGCCGCCGCCGCCGCCGCCGCCGCCGCCGCCGACCCCGCTGCCAAATCGCCGCCGCCGCAGCCGTTGCGGCCGCGGCCGCTGCCGCCACCGCTGCCGCCGCCGCCGCCGCCGCCGCTCCCGCCGCCGCCACCGCCGCAGCCAGAGACAGCGCCGCAGCCGCCGCAGCCGCTGCCCCCGCCGCAGCCGCCGCAGCTGCCGCCGCCGCCAAGTGTACTCTGGAGTCTTTTTTGACAGGGATGGTGGGGGGGAGGCCGCATCGGGTTCGCTGCGCATGCTCCGAATTTGGAGACTGAGTGTGTTTTGTATTGTTCTTTCACAAGGAATAGTGGGGGCAGAGTGTGTGTGTGTGTGTGTGTTTGTATTGTTTTTTGCAAGGGATGGTGGGGGGGTGTGCCCGCATGGACCTGGGTTGGCCCCCAGTCGCCTGGGGGAGGGGGTGTCTATTAATAGGGAGCAGTGATCAACCCCTCCCCGAAGGGGAAGAAGGAGGGGTGGAAGAGGAAACTCCCTAAACCACCGACGCCCAGAGGGCTAGTGGGAATCCTGATGCTGATCCGCATCACCACCACCCACGAGCGGCGAACATATCCGTACCCGCGCCCTCGCGCCCTGGACCCCCAGGACACGCGCTCGCGCGCATGCGCGGTCGCATGGGTGCACGCTCCGCCCCAGGGGCCTCCGCGCAGCAGCGCCCCGTGTCCGTGGCCTCGCGGTCGAGGGAAATGGCCCGCGAGGCCGTGGACATGGATGCTTGAACTCTGGGGAGGTCGTTGGGGAGTCTGCGGGCATCCCGCTCTCTGCGGGCCGCCGTGCGTTGCCCCCCCCCCCGGCTGCTCATCGTCGAGCTCTTCGACGTCTGAGCGTCCCTTCTTCCTCTCGGCCGTCCCCCCTTCCCCCTCTTTGCTCGCCGGCCAGTTCGCTAGTTAGTGCCCCTGTCTGGCTTCTCGCTGGAACGGAGTTCGCCGCCTCGCCGCCGACGACAATAGTGTTTGCGCCTCGGTGATCTGCGCGCAGAGAGCGCGAGGGGGCCCGTGCGGCCGCCCCCTGGGTTGGTCTTAAGTCGGGCACGTCCTTCTACAGGAGGAACATGACAAGAAAAATTGTCGGGGGAGGACTTTTCGACTAGGTTTGACCATTTTGGATAATTTTTCTGTTTATTTTTAATGTTTCGTTTAAAATCGCCCTGTAGGAGGACATGCCCGACCTAAAGTTGGTCGCTTGCGAGAGAAGGGGGGGGAGGGCAGCGGCCAGCGCTGGCGCCTCGGCTGTCGTGGCCGATGATACGTGCCACCCGCTCGCCCCCGCGGAGGCCCGTCCACGGTGGCGCCAGGGAAAATGGAAGGGTACTCCAAATCACTTATCAATCGACCCCCCTAAAAGTCCGGACCCGCCCTCCAGATGCGACCTGATACTCCGGACCCCCCCTCGTCGACGGGGCGCTTGAATAAACCGGCCCCCCAAGTTCCAATCCAAAGAAAGCGCCCTGGTAAACCGGACCCCCCCCCAAGTTAACAAAAAGGCGCCGTCAAAGATTGGACCCGGGGGACGATTCATAAGGGATTTTGGGGGTGCGGATGTGCCTGCCGCCCGCGCCTCTGGGCCTCCCGGATGGGGTCGGACTCGGTGGGGTCGGAAGATCGCGCCGCACTGCCGGTGCCCCGGCGATGCGGTTCGATGCGGAGCCCGATCGGCTTCACGCCACGTCGCCGATGCATCTTCCATGTCGGCGCTGCATCGGCGCTGCATCGGCGCTGCGTCGCCGATGCGTCGCCGATGCGCCCGCGAGGGGGCGGGACCCTCCAACCCCATGTGCTCGGACCCCGTCTGGGGGGGCTCCAGGATGCGCCTCCCGCCCGCGAAGCGCCCTCGAAGCCACACCGGCATCCACGGGCGGGCTCGAGGCCGCTGGGCTCCACCGCGCTCCCGCCGTAGCCGGGGGAGCGGACAACGACGTGAACAGCAGAGCTCGGAGGCCCGCGCGGCTTTCTCGGATCGGCGCTGGACTCTCCCCCCCCTCCCTGGCGCGCGGAGCGCGCCGGGGGCGGCGCCGGAGGCGCCGCCACGGGGGCCCAGTGCGGCTCCGAGAAGTCCGCGCGGACCTCCGAGATCTTGCGCTCGTGTCCTCCTCCGCTCCCCTGGCGGCCCCCTGCGGCAGCGCGCCGCCGCCGAGAAGCCGCCGCCAACCCCGCGGCATGACTCCTCGAGCGCGGCGCGGCCGGCGGCGGAGCGACGGCCGCGCCGCGGGCGCTGCCGCGGCGGCCGCCGAGAGCCCATCGGGCGGCGCCGCGACGCCCTGGCCCCACGCGGGCGCCGGCCCCGCACGGGGCGCCCGCGGGGAGGAGGCCGTAGACAGCGCCAGCCTGCCCGAGGGCGGCAGGGACGCCGGCGACCTGCCGACGCCGAGCTTGATGGGCCTCTTTTCCACCACCACCACCATGAGTTGAAGGGGGATGGGGGTCCTCCTCCTCCTCCTCCTCCTCCTCCTCCTCCTCCTCCTCCTCCTCCTCCTCCTCCTCCTCCATCTCCTCCTCCTCCTCCTCCTCCTCCTCCTCCTTCCCCACTCCAACTTATGATGGCGGTGGTGGAAAACAGGCCCATCAGATCTGCCACCGCGTGGACTGGCACTTGGAGGCGGAGTTCTGCGGCGACAACAGCGGGGGCAACGAAGAATGACAGAAGCATAGCAACTCGGAGGTCCGCGCGGATTTCTCGGGTCCGCGCCGGACCCCCCTGGCAGCGCCTCCGGCGCCGCCCCTGGCGCGCTCCGCGCGCCAGGGAGGGGGGACCAGCGCCGATCCGAGAAATCCGCACGGACCTCCGAGTTTTTATGCTTGTGTCATTCTTCGTTCCCCTGAGCATGAGCTGCCGCGCGCTGGTGGCGCGCGAGTGGGTCAGGCGGTGCTTCTCAAGCGCCGTCGACTGCCAGCTGGCGCTCCTGTGCAGGTCTCCTCGGTCGCGGGGCTCGTTCTCGGCAGGGGAGGCCGATGCAGACTCTGCCGTGGACAGCAGCCTCGACACCAGCGCGACGTCCGCCTGACCGCCTCCATTAGGATGCAACTCCTGGGAGATGATCTTCTGCATTGGCGCTGGGATGTCCATGATCGAGTAGTTGCCGAGTCCAGTAGCATCTCGTTCGATCCGGCTCAATCCCGTTTAAGATGTTATGCGGTTTAATCCCGGGTTGCATCGGGCCCAACTTGGCTTAATGACCACATCGTCGGGCCCAGTATTGGCTCTCAGAAGCGTCTACACGAAGATTTTCTAGAAGTTGCCTCATAACATTCAGCATTATGAAGGTGAAGAGGGATTGGAGAATGTTATGACCCGATTTTCTACCATCGCTACTAGCGGTGCTCTGGAGACGCAAGCCCTCCAGACATCAAAGGCTTCGCCATGCATTGGGTTACATTATGATTTGAAGTCTTCGCGGTCTGGAGGGCTATCGATTTCCCACTTGTAGTAATGATCGTGAGAATCGGGGCAATGAGTTTTCTCGCCAAAGCGACGCGGGCGCGACCCCAATTACGGGCAAGGTTCCTGTCGCATGGGCGCATTGCTTGGCGTTGCTTGGTGTTGCTTGGCGTTGCTTGGCGTTGCTTGGAAGGTCTCTTCGAAAACAGGAAGGGAAGCAAGACCACGGATACCACAGGGACGCACCGTAAGGAAACGAGCCACGGAACCCCAGGAACGCACAGTACCGAAGTCGGACCAAGCAGCCCGAGGAACGGACAGCAAGGAAGCAAGACCGAGGAGTCCCGAGGAACGCACACGAAGGGAACAAGACCAAGGAACTCCGAGTCAAACACAGCAAGGAAGCAAGACCGAGGCATCCCCAGGAACGCACACTATCCGAGGCGGGGATTTATTCATGACCACCGCCTGTCGGATCGATCTTCGCGGACCTCCACAGGCGGTGGACATGGTAAATCCCACCAGCCCTTTAGGGCGTGAGTGGTTTAGATAGTCCTCTCTGTTCTCAAACCCCTTCTTCCCCTTCGGGGAGGGGTTTACCCTCCCCCTCCCCCCCCCCCCTGGGCCTGGAGAGGGGGGGCCGCGGGTCGCCGGGGCGTCCTTTGTCGGTCCCTGGGAGGCTCATTTTTTGGCACCATTCACAGGGATCGTGGCCCCAGGGGGGGGGGGGGGGGGGGCAAATCAGTGCTTTCGTCTTCTTTGACCGATCTCCTCCAAGATGGCCTCAAGAGCGCTCCCAAGGCCCCCAAGGGCGCTCCCAAGACGGCTCCAAGACGGCCCAGGAGGGCCCCAAGACGGCCCAAGCGGCGGCCAGTACGGCCCAAGAGGGCCCCAAGACGGCCCCAAGAGTGCCCAAGTGGCGCCCAAGAGCGGCCCAAGAGAGCCCCGAGCGGCTCCGAGACCGCCACAACACGGCTCCAAGTGGCCGCGGAGCTTCCCGCGGACGCCCCCGAGAAGCAAGACGGCCCAAGAGGTCCCCAAGACGCTCCAAGAGAGCCCCGAGAGGCGCCCTAAGAGGGCCCCAAGAAGCCAAAACCATTGATTTTCCGTTGGCGTTTCAAACATTTTAGCGTTCCCGCCCTTTCGGCTTCCCGACGCTCCAAGACAGCCCAAAAGGCATGCAAGACCGCCCCAAGACGGCCCAAGAGGCTCCCAAGACGGCTCCAAGACGGCCCAAGCGGCGGCCAATACGGCCCGAGAGGGCCCCAAAGACGGCCCCAAGAGCGCCCAAGAGGCGCCCAAGAGCGGCCCAAGAGAGCCCCAAGAGGCTCCAAGACCGCCCCAAGACGGCTCCAAGTGGCCTCGGAACTTCCCAAGGACGCCCCCGAGAGGCCAAGACGGCCCAAGAGGCCCCCAAAACGCTCCAAGAGAGCCCCGAGAAGCGCCCTAAGAGGGCCCCACGAGGCCCAAATCATATGTTTGTCTGAAGTGTTTCAAACATTTTAGCGTTCCCGCCCTTTCGGCTTCCCGACGCTCCAAGACAGCCCCAAAGGCCCGCAAGACCGCCCCAAGACGGCCCAAGAGGCTCCCAAGACGGCTCCAAGACGGCCCAAGAGGACCCCAAGACGGCCCAAGAGGCGGCCAATACGGCCCAAGAGGGCCCCAAGACGGCCCCAAGAGCGCCCAACAGGCGCCCAAGAGCGGCCCAAGAGGGCTTCAAGAGGCGATATTTCGGGCCCCGACGGGTGTACACCAATAAATGCTCTCTCCCTCTTTGCCCGATGGCCTCCAAGATGGCCCCAGAAGACCTCCCAAACTCCCACAAAGAGCCCCGAGAGGGTTTCAAGACTCCCAAAGGAGCCCCAAGAGAGCCTCAAGAGAGCCCCAGGGCCACGATTCCCTGAGATCCCAAGAGAGCCCAAAGATCGCACGGCAACGCCAGGAGGAGGAGGACGAAGAGAAGGAGCAACGAGGACGAGGAGAAGGAGAGGAGGATGGAAGAAAGAAGCCAAAGAGAGGGAGAAGGAAGAGAAAACACCCTACGGTCAGCGCACCTTTTTCGAGCGGCTGCTTTTGGATGGGCTGGTGGGGACTCGCGAAGCGTAAACAATTCGGGACCCCCAGGGCCAGAATACATCCATGTCCACCGCCCGCTGGGCCGGGGCACCAGGACGTCGGTTCCCAGGCGGCGGATATGGCTAAACCCCCGCCTCGCACACTACGGAAACGAGACCAAGGAGAATCCGGAGCAGAGCACAGTAAAGAAACAAGGCCAGGGAACGCCGAGAAGCGCTGGCCGCGGCCGGCGCAGGCCTCTCTCTTACCCAGCGGTTCCCCGAGCACAGGTAAGATTTTGGTCGGCAGAGCCTCAGTGCGGAAGCATGAAGAAGGATTCTACACGAACGAAATGGGCACAGAAAGAATGGGTACAATGCCCAACAGCGGATCTTGTTCGTTTTGACCAGGGCTCGCTGTCCACGCCGCCGCGGCCTGTGTCCATTCGAGACAGAAGGCCGCCGGCCCAACAGCGGCCGCTGTTGGTTTGGGACAACATTTGATGTTGGGCATTGTACCCATTTTTTCCGTACCCATTTCGGGCGTCCAAAAGGATGGGGCACGTGGGCGTTTTTTTGATTCATTGTTTTGCCGATCGGCGCGGGCCCTCGCACCCCCCCCTCCCCCTCATCATGGAGTAGGTCTTGGCTGTTTTTGGCGCCTGTTTCAGGCGCGGGGAGCCTCCCCTCATAGGACGCACGGTCCCAAACAGTCGCACTAAGCAAAGGTCCGGAGCCAGACCCCCCACTCCCCCCTACCCTTCCGCCCAATGTCGGAACGCCGACTCGGCGTTTTATTATTCGGCGTCGCCGAGTAAAAAACGTTGACGAAGCCTCAGTGGGGAAGCATGAAGAGGAACGGAATACGCACGGGGATGGAGGCCGTCCTGCCCCGATTCGTAGCAGTGTATTGCCGGTAGCCGGCCTTTGGCGCATCGCCAGCGTGCGCCCTGCTCTTCAACGTAAGATTCGAGTAAGCAGGAATTCGGGTTTGCCGACGTTGTTTGACTAGCGCGTCCAGGATTTGGACGGTCACGTTTTCGTGGGATGTCTGCAGCGGGAGCCCTCGTCAAATTTCAGTTCCATATTGGATCTCGTCATTTTCATAATGGCCCTCGTCAGGCCAGAGGGAGGGCGCTTTCACTCTCGCCCCGTCGAGTGAGGATTCAGAGAAGAAGAGGAGGAGGAAGAGGAGGAGGAGGAAGAGGAGGAGGACGAGGGGTGAGGAGGAGGAGGAGGAGAGAGGAGGAGGAGGAGGAGGAGGAGGAGGAGGAGGCGAAGTCATATGGCGCCTTCTGACAACAATGGATCGGGGGTGAAGAGAGGGAAGTGCATGTGTAAAACGTTAGAGTTTATCGCGCGCCCAGGGCTCATGGCGTATCAGCGAGCGCATGTGCCCTAATTACAACCTCGCTTTGAAGACGAGTATGGCCGCCCCAGGAGGGCGAGTTGATACAACGTTAGTTTGCCCTTCGGGGGGAGGGGCCTTCGTTGCCACGAATGGACGCAGCTTGGAAGATTGCTGCGTTGGGACCCCGAGAGGATTCCAGGGACCGATTTTGAGTGGCCGCAGTCTCAACTCGACCTGCTCCGAAGGACGTTGCTCTTCGTCCATGGCGCACTCGAGCTTCCCACGAGCGCGACTCGGGGAATGTATAGTTTCAGCTATGGTGCATGTCAGGTCAGTATGCTTTGGCTCGGAGCGCCATTCCGCAGTTGAGAAGAAACAGGTGCGATGGCAGGTAGCGATCTATCAGGGTCATTTGTGAAAGGCCGATCAGCATTCCAATGGATTTCTGCCCACGTTTTGGAGCTATGGGCCACCTCCGTTTTAATTAATATGTCTGCCCCGTTATGGAGCACTTTTTCCTGTCTGTCTGAATAAGCTGGCAGTGCCCCTCCCTCACCCCTCCTACGTCCTCCTCCTGTACCCTCATCCCGTTTCTCTGTGCTACGTTGGTTTAGCTTTTTTGCAGCAAGCACGCCGAAGTTAGTTGACAGTTTGCTTTGCACACACGAACGTGTTGCCATTTCCCATGCGCGCTACAGTGGTATCATACACGAGTGCCAACGCATACCATCGGATGGGCAAAGTTGGATTTCCTCAGGGTATGATAGTCAAGTGACTCGGTTAAGTGGAGACGATAGGTGCGTGCTGGGAGCCGATCCAGTATCGGAAATATTTCTGACCGCGCCCGAGCTGCAATCCGCAGCTCGGGCACGAGGTCCCCGGAGGCGGCACAGAACTCGCAGCGTGGCGCGCGGTAGTCCACTGGGGCACCCCACCCCTCATTGCGTTCATTCCCCCGCCCTTCGTACAGTCGGAACCGGCGTGAGGGATGGGCCATAGGTCGCATCGACACATTGTGTTCGCATCCCTAAGTTTTTGAGGGTCGGCTCTTTGTTCATGCAGTTGCGTTCCAAGGGTCTTGCATCCCTGAATGTATCCGTATCGCCGATTTCGACTGTACTCTTTGTCGTCGTATTATCCTCCACCCCATCGCTTTGCCTGTTTGGCTCGAGCGCGTCCGTGCGCAACCGCACGGTCCCCGTCAGCAGTGACAGGTGTTTTGACGCGCCTGACAGGCCCCAACATAGCTAAAGAGTAAAAAATTGCAGCTGTTGCGCAGCTCAGCACCCTTAAGGAATTGAAGCCCTGCGCAGTCACAGTCAACTCTAACCTCTTTCGCTTTCCCCCTCCTCTCGTGGCTGCAAGGCGGCGGTTCCGTGATGACTGCTTGCGCCGGATTGCAAGTGTCAGGATGGTGCTTGCATCGATCTGGCGACGAGCCCTGGGGGCAAGTGCGGGGGAGCAGGCCTGCTCAGAAGTGTTCGCGCATTCCGAGAAGCCGTCTGCGCCTTCAAAGAAGGCTCGGAAAAAAAAACCCTCTCGGAGGGCGCGAGGGCTCTGAGAAGCCCCGCCCGCCGCCTTCCGAGCAGGCCCGACGCCTCTCACTCAGCCCCCTGGGCCCGCCGCCGACCAGCCGGTACCCCGCACGAGATGTGTACCTCTGGATGGTCGTCCTACGATGGGGGATAAATGGGCGGCGATGGCGGGGGGGAGCAGGTCGGGCGGAGGAGGGCAGGCCTGACACTTCGAGGATCGCGGCTCTGGGGGCACGGGCACCGGGGGGGGGAGGCGAAGGAGGAGAAGGAAGAGCAAAAGGAGGGAGGAAGGAGGAGGGAGGCGGGGGGAGGAGTCGACAGCACCACATACAAAAAGCCTTCCGCTCCCCTGGTCCTCCCTCGTCCGCCCTGCACGTTTTTTTTGTTGGCGGGCTCTCGACCCCACGCCGTGACCATTCGGGGCACGAGACTTGTCGGCCTCGCGTGGTGGTCCTGTCCCGCCTGGCGCCTCGTCAGTTTCCTGCGGAATTCGGAGCATCGCCGGGGCTCGTTTGGAGAGCGACCCTGGGGAGTATTTGGCCATTCGGCTCCAAAAGTGGTCAAGTCTTTGACGTGGCAGCACTCTGGGCGGAGGGGGACGGGGAAGGAGGGGGGTCGGGGGGCTGGGCGGGGAGCGGGGGAGGCGAGGGCTGGGAGAAAGTAGACTTCGGAGTATTTTTTAAAGATTCTAAATCTCAGAGAAGGAAAATGTAGTTACCCATACCTCTACCCTGCCCCCGTTTTCCCCTTTTCGGGCCTCCTGGGCGGTCCTCGTCGCCACCGCTGGGTTCGCCTCGAAATCGTGGTCAGAACGCACCCCGGGAGAGGTCCAGGGAGTAGCGGTATCGGCACCCTTTGGTCTCTCCAAAATCATGCGTTCAGATGCATTCAGCTCTGATCGTCCGTCGGGGCAAAGCCGCGCCCACGTAAGAGAGCTGTCCCAAGAGTGGCATAAACCCCTGCGGCTGACAGGGTCCTCTGCACAGCAGGCGCTGGCCACAGGGCCTCAGCCAGGACTGTGAGCGCTCCTGCTGGCGCCCTTCCACTGTTGCCTCCGTGCTGACACGATACCAGGGGACGCTGGATGGCAGCGCGTGACGACTTGTATAGTAGCATTTTTTAACAGCAGCAACCGCGTGAAGATTTGGATAGTAACTTTTTTTAACAGGATAACCGGTTGCGCAAGAGAAACTGTTCTGGATTGTGGACCGAGCTTGAAGGAGGAACGCTCGAGAATAGTTACAGGCAGAGGCGAGACGTAGTTGCCATTCTGCATTTTAGATTGCCTGGTGGTCTTTCGTCGTTATCGGCGACGAGGGCGACAGCCAAGCCAAGCCTACACGCTTGAATCAGGCAGGCACGCGACCGAGCGTTGAATTCGGGCCCAATGTGCTCAGCAAAAAAGCACAGAATCAATTGTACCGCTATCATCGTCGTCGTCGCCGTCGGCGTCGTTGCCGACGTCGGCGTGGCCGCCGCCGTCGTTGCCGACGGCCGAGGGAGACGACAGTGACAACGGCAGCGTCGGCAGCGGCAACGTCAACGTCGATGTCAACGGTGACGACGGCGGCGGACGATGACGACGGCTGCGACCATGACGACTACGGCACCGACGGTGGTGGCATCGACGACGACGGCTGCGGCGACGATGAGTTGACCAAGGCAACAGTGGCGGCGGTGGAGACCCAGAGCGAAACCCTGTTCTCCCGGGCCGCAAGACTTTCCCCTGGAACCACAGATGCCTATTCATCTACTCCGGTAAGAACGCTGAGCCCGTGGAATCAGATACACGCCGGTCGTTGAAAGTAGGTATTTTTGGATTCCCAGGTCCCAATCTACTTCAAGCGCCTTCCTACTTCAAGCTGTTGCTGTGTTTTGTTATTCTCTGGGAGGACCTGGACCCAATCCACTATATCCGCCTCCCTACTTCATGTGTCTACCTACTTCTTCCGACCGACGTGTATCCCCGGTTTCCAGATTCAGGGTTCAACGGGTCATATTTAATTTGTGTTTGATGGGCCGATGATTGCTAGTAGGAGTCCTAGTCGTTGTGTGTGGCTATCGATACTCGCTGTGAAGAGAATAGGTTCCACCACGCTCTGGGACAACCAAATGGATCCAGCAGGCTGAGACATGGGATCCGCAAGATTCGCAACCGAGAACTATGACCCAACGGGGTCCATGGTCCCTCATGCAAGAGGAGGAACTGCTTGCGAGCGCGGGGATGAAAAAAACTTCAGCCCTGAGGTCTACAGCGGCGGCGATCACAGCGGTGGCGACGACGACGGCCGCGACGACGGTGGCGACCGCGGCTGCGACGACGACGTCGACGGACGACGCGGGCTCTACCATGTCTTCGGCCTTCGAAAGTCGACCGTCAACCGTGGTTTGGCCCGCTCTCGTCCATACTGGCGTTGAGGAGTCGGGGGGGGGGACGACGAAGACCCGCAGGGGCAAAGGTGTCCAAACTGCCCGAGCGCAGCGTGGCGGAGGTGGCCCACGTGGGGCGCGGCGTGCTCCGAGGCGCGAGGCAGGGCAGGGAAGGTGGTGCAAAGCACGTTCGGGTCTGCAGCTCCGCCGCGGTGTTCCAGGGCAACGGCGAGGACGACCAGGGCTCGTGCAAGCCGGTGTGTCTCCGTGCCCACCTCGGGCCAGCAGCTGCCCCCCCAACTTCCCGACGGCTGGCCCAGTCTCAAAAGTGGGCGCCCCGCCCGGCGTCCTCCTCCTCCACCTCCTCCTCCTCCTTCTCCTCCTCCTTCGCCCCCCCCCCCCCGCTCGTCTGCGAAGCCAAATCGCCATCGAAGGATCTTAGCAGCGCAAACTGCTAGTCCACACCATAAGTTTCCCATGGGAGCGCTGGTCGGCGTTGGATTCGCTCGGTTACCATCTGGAGCTTCAGGGGCACGCTGAAAACATATGTCCAGGCTTGTCTGCCCCTTCCGTCTCCCCCTGCCCCTCCGCTTCTTCTTCCTCGTCCTCTTCGCTCCTCGTTCCGGCTGCTTCTCGCGTTCTGTTCTTGATGGCCGTGCGTCTTGATTTGCGGTGTCAGCTGATGTGTACGAGATGTGCGCGACTTGTCGGATGACGAGGGCGACTTGATTAAGAAACCTCCTCCCGAAAATCTTGGCTGGCGTTTCTTAACCCACTTGCCCGCGAGCTGACCCAGTTTCTTGAGCACGTTCGCCCCTCCAGCGTTGAGAGCAGAAGTTGGGCCAGGCCTGTTTTACGAAACTTCTGGGGAGCTGGCCCAGAGTTCTTGAACACGCTGGTACTCTTGATCGCATGCTCGTTTGCAGCTGCTGGAGGGGTCGAAGGCCTAGAGGTTGACACCAACACCGATGTCGGCGGTGTGCTTCACCGAGGGAGTTCGAACCCGGTCGGTGCCAATTCCGAAGCCTCCAGAGGCATGCCAAGTGCGACACCTGTATTGCCAAGGCCTGACAGCCGGTGCCGCCGACCCTGAAGGGAGACGACGACGACGACGACGACGACGACGACGACGACGACGACGACGACGACGACGACGACGACGACGACGACGACGACGACGGCGGCGTGGCATGCCTTGGCTGCTCCGTGGCATGCCGTGGCTGCTCCGCACCCGAGAGGCCCCCCCCCGCCCACGGCCCGAGGGCGCCGCCCGCCCGCGCCCCCTCCTCCCCGCGGCCAGCCTCCCCCCCCCTCCCCTCCCCTACGCGCTCGCTCGGCGGCGAGCGAGGGGGGAAGCGAGAGGGAGAAGGCATCCTCCTCCTCCTCCTCCTCCTCCTCCTCCTCCTCCTCCTCCTCCTCCTCCTCCTCCTCCTCCTCCTCCTCCCCCCTCCCTTTCCTCATCCTCCTTCCTCCTCCTCCTCCTCCTCCTCCTCCTCCTCCTCTCTCCTCCTCCTCCTCCTCCTCCTCCTCCCCTTCTCCTCCTCTCCTTCTTCCTCCTCCTCCCTCCTCCTCCTCCTCCTCCTCCTCCTCCTCCTCCTCCTCCTCCCTCCCCCTCCTCCTCCTCCGCCCCCTCCCCCGTTTCCTCCTCCTCCTCCTCCTCCTCCTCCTCCTCCTCCTCCTCCTCCTCCTCCTCCTCCTCCTCCCCGTAGCCATTTTGGCTCAAGTACGACACCGTTGTCCTGCGGCATCGTACTTGCCTGCAGCCGAGGGGCTGGCTTGAGGCGAGCTGTCCCACAGCAGGCGTTGCGTTTGTGGCCACCTTCTCCACGGCGAGCCCTCGTGCAGTCGTGGACGCTTTCATCGTTGCTCCTGGCGGGGTAGGCTCTCAGTGCTTTGGCATTGCGCATGGGTGGCAATGGAAACAGGGGTGAGTGAGCAGTCTGGAGGCCAGAAGCAGCAGTACGCCAAGTGCCGCTTGTGTGGTTACAAGTGAAACTAGAAGAAAAACACGGCGTGCCACAGCTGCGGGCGGGCCTTGCAGCCAGCTCGGTCGCAGAAGCGCCCGCCTGCGGGGGCCTGGGGCCCAGGCGGGGCCAGCGAGCGCGCCCACAGCCGTCCCCGTGGCAAGGGGGCCAAGGACGCGCGGCCCACGCAGGAGGAGCTCTTGCGGCAGCTGCGGGCCACCCTTCCAGCGGACGCTGATCGGGCCACCGTCGCCCAGGTCGACCAGCTGGCCCTCACGCTGGTCCCGCCCCCGCCCGAGCAGCACCCCGACGTGGCGTTCAACCAGGCGCGGGCGCGGGCGCGGCGCGCCGAGGCGGCCCTCAAGCGCTCCCACCAGGCGGTCAAGGACGCGGAGGACTGGGTGGAGTGCAAGCGGCGCGAGCTGGAGGAGGCCATCCTCGAGGCCGCCGAGGCCGACGCCGAGGCCGAGGCGTCCTACGCCAAGGCGGCCCCGGCGGGCCAGGCCGCGGCGGCGCATGCTGAGGCCGCTGAGCCGCCCGCGGTCAAGCAGGGGGCGGCCCTTGACCTCTCCAAGCTGCTCCCCGAGGAGGTGGAGGTCATGGAGGTTCAGGCGGGGGCGATGTTCGACCTAGAGGGGCTCGACATCTCCGAGGAGGAGAAGAAGCAGTTTGAGCAGCAGGTCACCTCCTTCGTCCGCCAGCTGCGGTCAGGGGTCCAGAAGCACTTTGGCCCAGCCGCCGAACCCATCAAGACCACGCACGCGGACCGCAAGAAGATGCACGACCGCCTCAAGTCCAAGCGCCCCCGCTCCGCCGCGCCCGACGAGCACAGCGCGGAGGTGGCGGCGGCCAAGGGCAAAGGAGGAGGGGCAGCGGCAGCTCCAACCCAGGGCAAGGGCGGGCCCCCCCCGCACCTGGCGCGCCTGGCCAGGCCCCTGATGGTGCTGGGGACCCTCCCGGGTCAGGCGCAAGCGGCTCCGCCGCAGGGGGGGGGCCCGCAGCCTTCAGCAAGGCCTCCCTTGGACGCGGGTGCCAGGGCCAGGATCCTGGAGCGAGTGGCTGGGCCCCCAGGGGGCCCCCCTGCGAGGGTCTGAGGCGTCCCAGGCCCCACTGAGCCCAGGCGCCTCCCTCGGGTTGGACCCTCTCCCTGGCGCTGTGGAAACCTCGCTGCGAAGCGTCTGGCTCGCCGCGGTCTTCGGCGAGGTCGCGGGCGCCGCGCCGCGGGGCCGCCTGCGTCGACTCCGTCTACGACGGCATCATCGGCCTCGGGAGCTCCGCGGGCCAGGCGCTCCAAAGTCGTCACAGTGGTCGAAAGCAACGTGGGCTACCTCCCCAGCGGCGAGCAGGGCCGCCAGGTGAAGGACGGCTCCCGCAGCGCGGCGCAGCTCGCGGCACATCGGCCACGCCAGAGTCTGCCGCCGCCTTGGGAGCGAGACGCCGCCCCCCCCCTCGCCAGACTTGGGGCCGCAGCCCATGACCAAGGACCAGGACCCTGAACGACGCGAGGCGCCGCAGCGCAAGTGGGCACTGGAGAGGGCGCCGAGAAGCTACGCCGGCCACTGGCTAGAGTGCCCGCGCACGTTAGACCTATGCGCTGGAAGAGGTACTGCGCGCCGCACGTCTCCAACTTTCTCGCTCATCCTGTGTTTCGGCCCCTGGTTGACGAGAGGGCCGAGAAGGGCGGGCACGGCGACCGCGCCGCGGCCCTGCTCGACTTGGCGACCGAGATCTGCGCCCGCGCGTTCCGACAGCGACGAGCAGCGCGGCGACGGCATTGGGAGTGGCTTCGCTCTCTTCAGCAGGACTTCCCTCGCGAGTGGGGCGATGAGCTCGCTCGGCACGCCGAGGCCATGATGCGCGTGACTGATGTCTTGGACAGCGGGCGTGACATTCCCCATGACAGCTTGTCGCCACCGTCCGCCAATGGCCGCCCCTCGGAGCCCGCAGAGGCCGACGAAGAGGGTGACGGCCCATGCGCATCCACTCCCTGGTCGACGCCATCGGCCTCGGCCAGTCTCATCGCGTGCACAGCGCCCTTAGCCAGGGACGTGCATTCCCCTGGAGGGTGCGGGGCGTCTTCGAGCTCTCAGCCACCAGATATCGCGTGTACAGCGCCCGTGGCCAGGGACGCGCATTCCCCTGGAGGGTGCGGGGCGTCTCCGAGCGCTCAGACTCCAGGTATCGCGTGTGCAGCACCCGTGGCCAGGGATGTGCATTCCCCTAGAGGGCGCGGGGCGTCTTCGGGCTCTACGGCGTCTTCGGCGCGGGTCAAAGGGGCCAGGTGCAAGCCTGGCGTGCAGCATCGAGGCCTGAATGGCAACGCGTGGACCTCCATCGTGGGCCGCGTCGACGAGGCGCCCCTGGGGCGGAACGCCATCTTGTTCATCCAGGAGCACGAGCTCTCGGCCTTACCTGGACGGGGTCACGACCGATGACTTCTCACCTCCTGGCTCGCCAGGGCGCGTTGCAGCGGCCTGGGCAGCAGGTTTCCTGAAGGGCGGCCTCATGCTGGTCACCGCCTACTTCTGGGTCAACGAGGGGCGGGCCATCCGCAACCTCTCCATCTTCGAGGCCATCGGGGAGCTGGTCAGGGCGTGCGACATTCCGGGGGTCCTGCAGGCGTACTTCAACAACGCGCACGACTCGTTGCAGGCGGGCGACTGGCGCGGCGACGTCGGGGCATCGTCATCGCGCCCGAGGCGGCCACTTGCCCGGGCAGGGGCGGGGGCCGCATGGTTGGCTTCCCCGTAGTGAACGCGCGCATCGCCCACGCCTTCGGCCGCGCGCAGGCGATGGATGCGCCGACCTACCCTCGCAGCCCCGTCAGCTTGGTGACCTGCCAGCCCGTGCGCATCATGGCGGGTTGGCGGCTGGTCAAGCCGAGAGCCTTCCCCGCGCGGCTGCCTGTGGGCTGCCGTCGGGGGCCGCCCGACTGGCCGCAGTTCGACCCCGACGCGCTGCGCGGCGATGACGAGCTGGAGGACCTCTGGCGCGGCTTCTCGGCTGCGGCGGAGGCTGATTTGCAGGGAGTCTTCGACCTGGTCGGGGAGAGCGACTTCGTCGGCCGCGGCGACTTCCCCAGGCGGACCCGTGCCCCCCTGGCCGGCCCTGAGGCGCGCGCCCGACCCCGAGGCACCGCGCGCTCGAGGGCATGGCGCTGGGCGGCGGCCAGAGCAGGGGACCTGGTCCTGCTCGCGGACGCGGCGCACCAGCAGGGTTCATGGGCGCCCTTGGCGAGCCGCTGGCGCAGGTCGCATCGGCGCCTCGCC